ACATACACGCACACAAACACACTATTGTAAATACAGTTCATTAACACTAGAACTACCAAGCAAGTCAACATGCCTTGTCAATACACTCTTACAACGACGATTAAAATGTTATGATAATATATTTTCTCAGATCTGTTGCACCTTTTATTACGATATGAAGGTGAAGAAATTAGTCAATTTCAAAATTTCAAAATTTTCAAAAGTTGTTCATGTCTATCCACCGATCGAAGCAAATATGCGTTTATCGTCGGTAGTTCTAGTGTTAAGAAACAATCAAAGTGTGCTTTATTTTGGTTTCATTTTTAAGGATCACGTAACGGTTCGGCGATTAAGTGCGAGCATTGCGTGACCTAACAACGAGTCAAACTATAATACTGTATTTCGTTATTATGAAGAAATTGAATACTTATTCAACGGAGACAGTAATCTTAGTAATGGTAACATACGCTGTGATTGATAGGAAACATTATGTAGGCTTATATCCTTTAAAAATTTTGCGTCCCTATATCCGACTCTAGGAATGAATTTTCACCTTCTTACAACGCAGGTTTAAGTCATGTATTATCTGTTGAGCAAGTTCCCTTACAAATACTTTTCCTTGTCCTCCAAGGATTATCGCCATTGTAAATCAAGTAGCCATCATGTGTCCTCTTCATATAAGAGATGAGAGGGTTTACATTTCTGATGCTATCCTTACCTTTGGGAAGCAGATACCTCCCCCTTCCTTGAAACTTGAAAAATTATCAAATTCTACGAACACAATCTTACAAATTGTATAAACAGTTTATAAATAATCCAGTATTAATTTCATCATCACACGATGCATCACATTTCAGGAATGCGATTAGGACTCTTGCAATCGAAGCTTGGACTGGTTCAAGTGTTGAGCAAATACGAGGTGACACCTTGCGAGAAGACACTAATTCCGATGGTTATGGATCCAAAAGAACTCACGACGACAGCGCTGGGAGGGATATATTTAAATGTCCGGAAGATCAGCACAGAAGCTGGTTAAATCATGTACAACTTTGATTTTAAACGTTATGTTAGTGGATTGATTACTAAAAAGCTCTGTCTCCTTGAAATATGTAATTAAACATACAGATATAAGCAATGTACATATGTATGTATATATATAAAGGGGCAATTCCTGGGCAAAGGAAACTGGATTTTTGACCTTTTATTAAAAATCTGAAACCGTGTACACGGTAATCAGATGCTGCTCTTATCTGAGTGACATAGAAACATATGGTAGAGGAAAAATTGCACAGCCTACCAGGTGCTATTGAACGTTCTTTTGAACGTTCCGAACACGAGTATCGGCCATACATTTTAAGTTCCCCCATTTTATTTTTCAGGGTGATGAACGATCGGACACTAGATAATTTAATATACTAACTAAATTTTCTCGGATTTTTTATTTCGGATAAACGAACTCGAAATTACAATGGTCACCGTAAAACGCTTAAAATAAAAACACCGCCGGGAGATCGTTGATATTTCCCCTATTTATTCATATTTTGCATTGAAGAAGTTACTATAAGCACTTTAAAAATCTTAAGTTCTTAAAAGTTTTTTAAAAATCAATTCCGAAAGTACATGTCTTTTTTCGAGTTCGCAAGTAGGCATAACCCCTTAACTCGACGAGTCTCATTTTGAAGGACTCGATCATTCTCGTTCCCCTGTTCAATCAATCAAGCTCCTTCAATCGAACATCATTCGGATCATTCAATCTCGTTCTAGCTCCAACAGTCGAGGGATCATCATTCCTGTCGTGCATTCTCGTAACAAAGCTCCATCGGTCGAACAATCGTGCAGTCTCGATTATGAGTGAGACCGCCTCGTTTTGAAAATCCCGTAGAATTCTGCTATGCGCCGGATAATGAACCACAACGCCATATATGTGGTGATGTAGCTATTATTACTTGTGCTTGGTGACGAAAACCGAAACATTTCTTCAACGATTAACATTATTGTCATGACTATGTTTCTTAAATTACTCGAATTACTCTTTCCGCGTAAAAATTGTCAGTTTAATCCATCCCCTCTGGAGTGCGTATAGCTGTAACTGTTTTATAAGATGCAATACAAATTTAATAAAATTAACTATTGTATATTGCAAAAATAATTGTTTTTCATTTACACGTATAAATAACATTGGCTGATAATGCAATATCGTCCGATACTACTCAATTTAGTATCGTGAGGTGACTCAAGGGGCACGATCTTGCGCACGGCAGGGGACATAAATAATTAAAATCTGCGAAATTATAGGAGGCAATTTGAAAAACAAATATATCAATGGATTTGGAATAAAATGCTCATTACTTTTTGTTATTATGTAAATTTGAATAAGTTGTAAAATAAAGTTGCAAAAAATTCTTTTGTTACAAACAAATTATATTTTGGAGAATTTGTTAGCACCATATTATTCTACATAGAGAACCGCAAACCTCGTCCATTAGAAGTTGTCATGTATCTACTCTAGTTTTCGAGATAGTACTTTCGGGTCGAAATTTCGAGGGGTGGTTTCACCCTTCAAAGTTGCATCTCAGCCGATAAAAAAAATACGTATCCCTTATTTTTGACTGCTTAACAGACATACGAAGTTTCATCAAAATCGGAGGGGGACACTTCAGTACCTTTCCTTGTCAGATAAAAAAGAAATTGTTTTGTATTGCAGGTGCGCCAGATTAGAACTGTTAAAATCTAAAGATTTTCAATGACGATTAAAAATAAGCATGACAAGTAGAAATCGGAATCGTGAAAAAGTGCACATAATATCGTATACCCAAAAAATATTAACTAATGCATGTATTTATAAACTTTAAAAATTATATTTACATGTGTGTTTGCTATTTTTAGTTATATGATTACTTTGGAGGCATTTTGCCAAATTTTCTTTAATGGGATTACGTTTAAGAAATATCTATATTATAAAAATACAGATATACAATTTCAAAATATTTACATTATTGTACAGGTTCTGATACCTAACGTGAGCACCTTCAATATCTAACTTGTTTTTGAAGATACAAAAAAATGTGAGGGCAAAGTATTATTTGGTTAGAAGGAGCAAATACTATGATAAACAAAAAATTTTCTTAAGGTTATATTTTTCGAAATTTGAAAGACATTGAGATTTTTTAAATGGAACTATATATGTATACATATTTTTATCATCGTGGTGTAATAGGTGAGTCAAGATGAATCCAATTATCTACATAATATGACAATGATACAAATGTAAAGGAGTAATTAAGATTTAAGTAGTAAAATACCTACGATAGAGGGATTACTGCAAATATGTATCGAAGTTGATGGACATCACTTTAAACATTTCTTGAAATAAATTTTCTGCACATCAAAAGCAAGTGATATATTTAAGATGCTCACATTAGGTGAGACACTTTGTATATAATTTTTTGAAACGATCACAATTACATGTTGGGCAAACAAAGTTTAGTTTTTTAGCTTCTCAAATTTCATGTGCCCATCTGTAACAAATACTACACTGAAAGGTAGGCGGTATTGAATTCACACTGGGCAAGAAACAAAAAAATTGGTTCCGTTAACAAAAAGATTGAAACCAATGAAACAGCTAAAGCATGTCATTGATTAGACACAAAAATTTTTCCTCCCACTAAATATTCACTCATTCATAAAATTTGCAAACTTATATTCTCCCAATGGGATATAAAATTGTCATCAAGATTCATTGAAATACTTCTCATTTGCTGCACGTTGCTCGTATGACGTTGTAACTATAATATGCCTTCCTACACATGCTTGGCCACTAGTTTAGTTCATTATTAACAAATGTTAACACAAAATGTTTTTTCACAAGATATTACGAATAGCGATATTAAGTGCTAGGCGATATTTGATGCAGTTACCCCATATAACTTAACACAACACCTATAACTTCGTTAGTTTTGATTTTTTAACAGTTTTGTACTAGAATACCCCTTTAAATTGGAATTCTCGATATCCTATCGTTAGCCATGCATGTCTCTCTTCCGAGAGATTCGCGGTTACCGCCTAAAATGGCAATGTGAGTTTAGATGGCGTTAGGAAAAAACTCATAAAGGGTCCTAGGTCCCGAAGGGACGTACGTTTAGCGGATCTGTTAATACCTCCTCCAACTGTCCAACGACACGTCTATCGCTATTTTGTATGGGAGTTACGATACCAGAAATAATAAAGCGATTTCTAGCGCCCATAATTCCCAAATTGGTATGGAAACAACTGAAAACAATTGTGGACTTATTTATGTTTTATAAACAACCGATTCTGATCGTTCGTATCAAACACTTGATCGTCCAAATGACCTGACAACACATGTTAATGACAAAGTGCACATAGATAAGGTAATCAGCAGGTTTTAGCTACATTACTTCACAAGTATCATTACAGTCACCCGACTATTGATAAAAGGAGGGTAACCGTAATTTGTGAAGACATGACTAATGATACCAGTCGCTTTTTGGGCAGTCTGTTATGAACCGCGCACGCTACTTCACAAAAGTATAATCGGTGCACCTTCAGTGTCTTCGAATTGTGTTTATTCTTCTGCCGCAATAAAATCTGGTAATTGTTACAAATTGTAAGTAAATATTTTTCATACTGTTTTCTTCATTTCTTCGACATTTGAAATAGTACCTGTCCAAAATGTAATTTGTTTATAACAAAAAAATTTCGGATCGAAACTTCGAGGGGTGGTTTCACCCCTTAAAGTCGCGTGTCAGACGATAAAAGAAAATACGTGTCCCTTATTTTTGACTGCTTAACAGACATACGAAGTTTTATCAAAATCAGAGGGGGACACTTCCGTGTCTTCCCTTGTTAGTATATGTATGCATATCACGTGTGTATTTACATTGATTTGTGTATTTATTGGATTTACAGATAACATATTCATAAATCAATACTTCTTCGATACATATACTGCATAATAAAAGATTTGCAACAAATAATTCTATTTCTAAAATCCATCCAAAATGGCGCTTCTAACGCCATACTGGGGACTAGATGTCATCGTACTGTTCGCATCCCTTATAGTGGCCGCATATATGTATGCGACCCGGAATTTTAAATACTGGGCAAAAAGAGGCATCATGGAAACTCCTCCGACGCCGTTCCTAGGAAATTTCGGAGACTGCATTCTATTGAAGAAATCAGCAACGAATTTCGTGAAGGATCTCTACGACCAATCCAAGGGATTACGTTACATGGGATTCTACATTTTTGATAAGCCATTCTTACTGATACGTGACCCCGAACTTATCAAGCACGTCTTGGTGAAAGATTTCAGCGTCTTTTGTGACCGATATGCTACGTCAGATGTAAACGATAGGATTGGGTCTGCAACCATTTTCTTGTTGAAAAATCCCGCGTGGAGGACACTTAGAACGAAGATTACACCAGTCTTCACCAGCGGAAGACTGAAAAAAATGTTCCACTTGATGACGCTGGTTGCAGACGATCTGAACGAGTATCTTGATGGGCAAAAGCTAGGTGAGTGTTTATGTTAACATTCACTTCAGCAATGGTGAACCTAACTTGAGATTTCTACCTTTGAGAGCTGTTCTCATGAATAGAATAAATACCTAAAGACGTAATTGTTGCTACGTCGTTAAAAAATAAAAATATATTTAGTCTGCAATAAGGGTAAATGAACATAGACATACACATATACTTTGTGTTTGTTATCTTACACAGAAGCCAATAACCAATAAGCAGTTCAGTTATACATTCGAAATAATAGTGAGGAAAGGGAAACGCGCACATCAGTAATAATTTCCTTAGACGTTTCGCGAAGGTGAGAACATTTCTAAAGAGACAAGTTTATTAACAGCGTTAAAGAAACGAAAACTTGATTGCATCGAAATAGACCCAAAGGTCGTAACAGGATTATTAACCCGTGAAAAGATCGCGAACTGACCGGCACCGATTTGGATGAAACTTTGTAGGTTTGAAGAACAGTAAAAAAAACGTATTTCTTTAGCTACGTTAACTCAAGTTTAAGGGGAGAAACCACCTTCCAAAGTTCAATTCCCTGAGAGCTAACTTGGAACTTGTTAAAGATAACAAAAATCTTATTAACGAAAACTGATTATGCTATTATCAATAGCACAGACGAGATATAAAAATTGACCTAACATGCAATGTAATTTTCTGTCCCATGCTTTGGAGGCGTCAGAAGCCCTCGTACCACTTCAGTATTCAATTCCTTGCTAGCGAAACCAGGACAATAATGTATGTATGTATCGCTATATGCAATTACGGGTGTTTGTGTTGTGTGGCATCACGATGTCAAACGTAGGTCCTGAAGTCGGAAACTTTTATGTAGAGTGCGCTCGAATCAGCGTGATTTTCGTGGGACACCAAGTCCTATAAGATGTTAGGTATATTCTCATCGCGGATTACACATACATTATTCTCAACCTATGAATTCTACAAATTCCGAAAAACTAAACGTGCGTGCAATACTTTGGAACACCAGTGTATGTATTAATTCTTTGTTTTTCGAATGTTTATACAAAGTCATATTTACATGGACTGATTTATAACAGTAGGAATCGAATAAAATGTTCTCATATCATAATTCCTTCAGTCATATCAATTTATTTGTTTCAGAAAATGGTAAAGTGATAGAAGTGAGAGATCTTTGCGCGAACTTTACCACAGACATGGTTAGTAGCATTGGCTTAGGTCTGCAGGTGAATTCATTAAAGGACAGTAACGTACCCTTCCGGCATTTCGGCAGAAAAATGTTTGAACGAAGTATAATGCGTGGCCTAGAATTTCTTAGTATATTCTTCATGCCGCATTTAACTAAATACACACGCGCGGAATTCTTTGGGAAGGAAACCACTGCATTCTTTCAGACCGTACTATTGGAAGTGGTCAATCAACGGATACAGTCTGGAGAGAAAAGGGAGGATTTTGTTGATCTTATGATCGAGCTAAAACAAAACCACGATAAGGAAGGCGACATTGATGGATATCGTAAGTTATAGTATCTACCCGTCACTACTTTTTGAACTTCATAACTAGACGTCGGATGTAATTCATGTCCATCCAGGTAACACACATGAAACTGCTGTTTGGAATGCACGAGGTTAAAGGAGTAAAGTTCATATTATTAAAATTGTAATTATCTTCTATCAGTATGTTATATTATTTTGTGTTCCATGTGTTAAAATGTTTACCACCGATAAATGTATGTGCATATAATTATACAGTTAGTATTGTGAAAACTTATTGACATGGTTTTCGGCATCTCTCTTCACTAATAATTTCATTTCTAATCCGATTATCAATTAATTTGTTGTACAGAATTTGGCAACGACGAGTTAGTGGCACAGGCAGCCGGCTTTTTCACTGGCGGTTTCGAAACTTCGTCCAACACCATGTCTTTCTGTCTTTACGAGCTTGCGTTGAACATGGACATACAGAAGACACTGAGAAAAGAGATCCTTCAAGCTCTTGACGAAACCAGTGGAAAACGTACTTACGATATGGTACGTAAATTGATAGTCTAGTGTGATTAGTTTTGTAGAAAGAAAAATAAATAGGAGTCTAACTTTCTTCCCTATAGTTTAGGATTCGTGAAAGGTGTTGTTCAAGTAAGCAGATGCATTGTGACTTGGACAATAGCAATTAATGTATTTAAATTTACAGCCGCTTCCAAACGGTCTGCCAACACTTTTTGTAACTTAATTGGCGCTCGTCCTGTATATCCTTTCCTGCCACACAGAGACACACTCGCGTATTTAACTATAATTAAATATTACACAACTTAAATATTATTTAATGACCATCATAATACATACCACTGAATTTGTTTTACTATTATCCACAACTCACATAATGAAACAAAACTTGACTTCCATTTAAAAAATCAAAAATGACCTCGAAGTTTTGAAAAATACTAGCGCTAGGAAGAAATCGAATAATTCACTATTAAGGTTCAAGGTCAAGATCAATGTTGAGGCTCCTTTCTGATATTCATTTCCACCAAACCAAAGGTGTAGAATCCAGATACGGTAGTCTTGACGTATCATTTCTAAAAACCCTGTACAGTCTTCCTATTTCCAGAAAGTCGATTTTGAAAATTGTTTATTACAAACAAAAACGGCAAATAGTAACCACAGACGGAATGCAAATGCTATTCGGCTTCTTAACAAAAATAAACCCTCCAAGAAGTAACTTCACTTTACATTTTCAAGTTTGTTTTCTATGATAAATTATCTCCCACTCGGTCATTGTCATGAATCTTGTGGGTCAATCTACATCTTTGTCTCAATCAAGCCTTTTATAAGAATCTCGGAAGAAAAACAACGCTCACAGCTATGTCATAAAAAAGCGAACGTAGAGAACAACAATTCTACGAGAGACTTAAGGAAACTACCTGTTTTTTTCGTAAATACTCTTGTTGAGCGTTAGATTGTAAAAAGCAATTTAGGCTTAGGAAACCGGAGGCGCGTTTATGACCAGTGCACCCTAGCAAAACAATACAGCGATCGAGGCACGCGGGCCCATTGTAACTCGTCATTACCTTTACTAGCGGTCAATGGTCATAACCTGGGATTTTTGAGACAGCTGACGAACACGTGTTTCTCATCTGTAAATACCCCAATTACATCGGTTTCGCCAGTTAATGTCCAGGAATCCCAGGACACCCTTAGAAAAGGAAAAAAAATAACAATCCGTCTTTTTCTACCTTCGCACCAAATTTCGCCACACCCACACCAACAGACACGACCAATCACACTCAAACACACCCTCTCCAATACACACTGCATTCAATATATAAAGGCAGAACTTAGGCAGACGAGAGAATTGACACAACAGCCAACACGGTCACATCACAGTATAATAACTCGATATACTTTACATCTTGTAAAATAAAGAACTCATTAGTACAGCACATATATTCAATATTTCATTATCTCTTCGATCCTCCGCTCCGAGTATTAGTTTACTCTGTGAGTGCGACACATCCGAACGGTTGAACCTGACCGATCGTCACTTTGCGTCGCAACAACTCTCAAAATATTAAATGAAACGTGTCTTCTTCGCAGGTTACAAGTCTACCGTATCTAGATATGGTTGTATCTGAAACCCTACGCATGTATCCACCACTGGGATTTCTGGACCGTGTCGCTGTAACCGACTACAAGATCCCGAATTCCGATGTAATAATCGAGAAAGGTACACCGGTGTCCATACCTATGATCGGACTTCACCTCGACCCGGAATACTTCCCTGATCCGGAAAAATTTGATCCCCTAAGATTTACCGAAGAGAACAAGCAAAAGAGGCCAAGTTGCATTTACTTCCCCTTCGGCGAGGGACCACACAATTGCATCGGTTAGTAAATTTTCATAGTTTTGACCTAATCATATAATCATCATGTATCATGTTAGTTTTAAAGTTCTCATTCTTACTTCTTTAAAAATGGTAGCTTGTTTTCTTACTCTTTCGTCGATATGGTTTGGATAAAAAGAGTCATTGTTGTCGGAAAAACTACAAAAGCTAAGCTACAATTTATATTTCCTAAAATAAAAAAAACAATTGCAAATTGTGTCGTACAAGTATAAGATTTTTCTGAAAATATATTCGAAAGTAGTTATAGCTTAATGCGATAATATTCAGAATTTATTGAGGGAATTATTTGAGGCATTTCTTTTATGACTTCAAATAAAGTTAGAAGTAGTGATTAGTTATATATTCATGGAAAAACATTTCAGAGTGTGTGAACTGTTATATATTATATTTTGAATACAGTCTTTGACAATAGAATTCGAAAATGTAAAACGATATTGACCGAAGAATATGATAACCTCTTACAAGGGAGGTTAAGTCATGCATTATTTCTATAACAAATTCCCCTATAGGTACCTTTCCTTATCCTCCAACAACTTTCGCCAATGTACAATAGGAAGCTAATAGGTCTGACACATTATTGATCAACCTGCGCTCAACTAGGTCTAGTAGCCAACATGCGTCCTCTTCTTGTAAGGGGTGAAGGCGCTTACATTCACGATACCTTCCTTAAACCTTACAAAACTAATAGAAAACAACAGCCTTACAAATTTCATGAACACAATGTTACAAATTGTATAAATATTTTAGAAATAATCCAATATCAATTCTTTCACCTCACGACGTATCACATTTTAGGACTTCGAATGGGCCTCTTGCAAACCAAGCTTGGACTCGTCCAAATGCTAAGCAAATACGAGGTGACACCTTGCGAGAAGACACTAATTCCGATCGTACTGGATCCAAAAGGATTCAACGCGCAGCCGGTAGGAGGATTACATTTGAATATTCGGAAGATCACTACAGAAGTTGGTTAAATAATCCTAACTTTATTTACAAATTTGCATGTTGAATGTTATTAATATATTAGTGACTGAAATGCTAGATTTCCCTTGAAATATGAAATTATTATATAATTCCCTTCAAAATATTTTTCTGCACTTATACACTTACGCCAATGGCTCTCCCGTTGATAACAACATTTTTTGAACGACTTTTTCAAAATGCTCTCTAGACGTTTCGTCGTATTCGGTTTTATCGTCTCGATGTCGTCAGAGCTCCGTTCTCTCAGTTACATTTGCAGTTATGGAAAGAGCCAGAAGTTGTAGGGTGCCGTATCAGGTGAGTAGAATGGATAATCAACTACAGCAGTGCTGTCCAATTTGGCTCTTTAGAGTCAACAGCCACCCCCCACCACCATCCGCCGTTACTATGGAGTAACAGAGACAAGAGTTTGAGCTTCTTTGTTTTTACGAAGGCATATGACGCGAAAGAATGATTGGAAGGGGAAGCAGGCGTGTGAGGAGCACCTCCCGAGAGCCAAGTTGGACAGGACTGAATTATAGGGATGCTACGTTTTGCCAAAAAACTCCGCACGTACTACATAATTGTAAGTAGTGAGCAAAAGCGCATTGTCAGGGTACAATGGCCACAAGCCAGTTTCCCACTTCTCCGCTCCAAATCTTCCGTCAAAATGGATTGGCACGTACCGACCGAGAAGTTAAGCTCTTCAGCAATATCTCGTATTGTTAATCGCCTGGTTTTCTTCATTAATTACTTCATGCGTGCCACAGACTCGTCGTTTCTGGCCTTCGACGGCCGCCCGAGTCCTGGATCGTCATCGGTACATGTTCTACCTTCTTTAAATTGTTTGTGCCCCTCAAAAATGGTTATGCGGCCTAGGGCGTTCTCTCCCTAAGCTATTTTTGAAAGACACATAGTTGTTTCTTTTCAAAACCAAAAAAGGTATATCGGAAGTCCTTTTCGCGCCTGAACAATGATATTGCTTGTTACTTTCATTTGTCACATTTTATGAAGCCATCATTCTTGTTTTTCGAATTATGCAATGCAGAGCGTTTGCCAAAAACCTAACCTCCTAAAACCTTATTAAACCTTGTAGGAAATAATAAAAATGGAGTAGCTTAAGGCTCTCTGATTAAGAAAATATTTAATACGTATTCACACAGAACTTAAAATGGTCCGATTGAAACCGCCTTTCGACTCAATTTTTATGAAGAACATTTGGTCAATTTGTTAGAAATAATGTCAATATTGGTTTGACAACATATTGCCTCTAGTATTACAGGTTGTTGGAATCGTATAAATATCTGCTATTTTATTAGGAACAAAAAAGTATAGTATGCCATTTAAAACAAATGTAAGAGACTGAGGAAAAAATTAGTATATGCATATTATGTGTCCCTCCTTACCATACAACTTCTGTAAATAAAGTTTTCCATATCTCTAAAAGTAACAGAGATATTCAAAGTGGTCAAAGTTAAGGCCACCCTGTATATGTTAGTGTGTGACCTTTATATTATGTATGCATACTAATATTGTATACATATGTATACTAGTATTAGTATTATTTTATTATAAAAATTCAAATTTCCACGTTTAAATAATTAAAAATGACGAAATACTTCTTTTTAACTTTTATTCGTTATTCGAAACTTTTTATCTAGAATACTTTAGATCTTCAACAAAAGCTGAAAAATCCTTCTTCCATTACTCAGGGATTACTTGTCTATGTATTTTGTTAGAATATGAATGTCCGGAGGGGAATAAATCAAATGAAACACTTGTAACACTAATAACGTATATTCAAAGAATTAGAACAAAAATAGATTTAAACACGTGCTCGTTAATCCACATACAAGGGGTGATAACAAAATCCGGTAAATGCTAGAGACGCTCCAATCAGTCACGAAATCCCGTCTCCCATTTTGATTGGCACCGTCATTTTTAGGCAAAGGTGTTATACATGGTGGTGTAGTAATAACAATTGATATTTTAGAAAAATGCCTGGATGTTATACGCGAAATTGTACGAACTCGTCATAGAAAGCCAAATAATAATAATTGTACCAAATTGCCATAATTTAAATATAAATATATTTCGTAAGTTTGCGATTTTTAGGTGTAAGATATTGCATATAAAAAAAGCATAAGCCAAAAAGGTATTTCGCTAGTAAGACCATGGCAATGCTCACATAAAAGAAAATAAAGACGTAATATTTATGTTTCTTATACTATTTTTTTAATTTATTCATGGGATCTGTTGCTTTTCAATTTACATTTTTCTCTCTCATACATCCCCTTTCATCGCATCCCCTATTGATACCTTACGTGGCAATTGCTAGTTAATAAAAACATTACATTGTGTCCTCATCCCTCCTATTCACCAGGTCTCGCACCATGGACTTCTGGCTCTTCCCCAAATTCAAATTAACCCCGATGGGTGAACGTTTTGAATCGACGAGATGAGCAAACTGATTATCTAGATCTAAAGCCATGTACATAATCGACGTAAAATTGACACTTGGTAGAAACAAATGAAGATGCTTTATCGTCGTTACAATGCAGACATTTCTAAATGTCATTAATACCCATTAGTGTTATCGAAATTAGGGGCGGAATACAGTAGAATCGTCTCGGGAATAAAGATAAAGCACCCATTAACAAGTGCCCTTGTAGAATTTAGAGTTGCACTTTTTAAAAACTTATAAGTAGACTGCGGAACGTTATGCAAAATAACATTTTTCAACGTGATTTGTAAAGACAAATGTAAAGACTAAATTGTCTTCCATTTCTTAAGGATTTTATTATATGTATAAAACAGAAATCGTATTAGATCTGATGTTAGCTTTACCATTTATCATATTTCACATGGAATCCACAGTTTACTTATAAAAGAGTATTGAGTGCTACATTTCCATGAGGAAAAAAGTAGTTTTGTAAAAGAGACTACAGACAACACTACGTTGTAAATATTTTATTAAGTACAATATATCCTCTTTCATTAAGCATTAAACGATGTTAGCCGGTAACAAATACTGACTTTCTTTATTATTTAATGGAAATGACAAACTTATGTATCTATCACATACACCGTATCACTGATAATTATTCGAACGATATAACTTTGGCCTTAATTTATGGCCCTTAGCCGAAGGTATATATTACACTATTCAACACGATTTGTAATCTGCAATATCCATTGAGAGATCCTTATAAAATTCCACGTCCAGATCACAAATCCGGAGGCAGAATTTCTCAGTCTCTCTCAGTTTTCAAAAATGACGTATTACGTGAAAAATAAAAACGCTAGAAAGTTCAATTTCGTAAACAAACACTATTATTGAAAACCTATTTATTTTTTAATGAATTGAAATAAAACTAGATATTTACTATCAACTGACGATCTTTCGGGTTTGGGTGAATTTCACTTATACTACACCGACGATTAAACAAACTCGCTCGAAGGACCACCGTTCACCACCATGTCTTTCAGCCTTTACGAACTCGCGTTAAACATGGACACGCAGAGAACATAAAGAAAGGAGATCCTCGAAGCTCTCAAAGAAACCGGTGGAAAAATTACGTATGAAATGGTACGTAAATGAGTACTATAATATAAATTTAGAATTATAATTTACTCTTTATATGCATATAAAAGAATTGTGTAAGGTAGACTGAACTTATTGCACAAGTCAGTCTGTGCAAATTATCTGAACGTATAAACAGACGTTTGAAGTAAACGTGTCTTCTTCGCAGGTTACAAGTCTACCATATCTAGATATGGTTGTATCTGAAACCCTACGCATATATCCACCACTGGGATTTCTGGACCGTGTCGCTGTAATCGACTATAAGATCCCGAATTCGGATGTAGTAATCGAGAAAGGTACATCGGTGTATATACCCATGATCGGACTGCACCACGAACCGGAATACTTTCCTCAGCCGAAGAAATTTGATCCCCTAAGATTTACCGAAGAGAACAAACAAAAGAGGCCAAGTTACACTTACTTCCCCTTCGGCGAGGGACCACACAATTGCATCGGTTAGTAAGATTTCATATTTCTTACCTAACCACACAATCATCCTGTTTCATGTTACCTGTAGAATTATCATTCCTACTTCTTTAGAAATGACAAATCGTTTTTTTACTCTTTCACTTATGTGGATATTGTTTGGATAAATAGAGTTGCAGTTGTTATCGGAAAGTAGGTCAAGTAGCTACCATGACGTCCTCTTCATGTAAGGGGTGAGCGCGCTTACATTCATGACGCATATCCTTAGATTTGGGAATAGATTTCTGTCCCCTTCTTCGAACCTTGCAAAACTAACACACAACAACAGCCTTACAAATTCCATGAATATAAGGTTACGAATTGTATAAATAGTTTGGAAGTAATACAGTATCAATTCTATCCTTTCATGACGTATCACATTTCAGGATTTCGACTAGGCCTCTTGCAAGTAAAGCTTGGGCTCGTCCAAATGCTGAGCAAATATGAGGTGACACCTTGCGAGAAGACGCTAATTCCGATCATTCTTGATCCAAAAGGATTCAATTCGCTGCCGGTAGGGGAACTACATTTGAACGTTCGGAAGATCGCTACAGAAGCTGCTTAAATAATCCAAACTGCATTTACAAATTTGATTTTAAATGTCATGTTAGTGTATTGATGATTAAAATGCTCGTTTCCCTTGAAATATGAAATTGAATGTACAGATACGAGGTGTGACCAAAAATACTCAGATTGGTTCTGTTAAAAATAAACTTTATTAGATAACGGTTCAAGCAAGTATTATATAATCCCCTTTAAAATTTTCCCTTTTTACGCTTATACACTTACGCCAACGGCTCTCCCGCTGGTGATAACATTTTTTAAACAAACCTTTCGAAATGCTCTTCAAATGTGTCGTTATAGTCGCTTTCATCGGCTCAATATCGTCAAATCTCCGTCCTTTCAGTGACATCTTGAGTTGTTATAAAAGCTAGAAATCGCATGAAGACATTTGAGGTAGTTGTTCAATTGCAGGGTTGCTATGTTTTACCGCAAAACTCCGCACAAAGTAAGCAATACACAAAACATTGCAGTCGTGTAGTGTCCACGAGCCAGTTTTCGACTTCTCCGGTCCAAATTTTCTGTCAAAATGGATTGGCACGTACTGTACGTTAAGTTATCATTGGACGATTCCAAAATGTTGTTAGTATGCAAAAATGAAGGTGTTAGTGGTAATGGATTAGACAGAATTTGTTTGGAAGGCCTTTTTGATCAAGTTCAATGATTTGGTGGCCAATTATGCTGCACCAAATATTCACTTTCCACTGGTGTTGGTGGTCAATTTCACGAATCCAATGTGGATACTCTGTTGCCCAATAATGCATATTTTTTATATTAATATCTCCGAAAATTGTGACCTTGGCTTCGTCAGTCCATAAAACAGTCTGTAGAAATGTAACATTCGAATCTTCCATCTAGTGCAACAACCAATCACAGAATTGTACGCATTTCTCAAAATCTTGTCCATGTAGCTTCTGATGTATTGACAGGTGACAAGGATGAAAGTTATCCGAATGAAGAATACACACAACACTATTTTGACTAATGCCCGAACCACGCGAAATCTTTCGTGTACTGATATGTGGATTATAGGCCACAGCTGCTAAGGTAGAAGTACGATGTCCTTCATCATTTACAATTTTACCACAGTTACGTTTCTGTACGTTAAAACTGCCATGTTCTTAGAGCTTTTTATTAAGCCTTACAAAAGTAGAATGTGATGGCTGATTTCGATCAGGATACTTAATTTGGTATAGTATCTTAGCTCTCGTAGCATTTTCATCACATGCACCGTAAACAATTATCATATCGTACTTTTCTTTGTTACTGAACATCTTACTTTCACGTTTACTGAGCTACTAAATAGCTACTAAACTCAGGTACATCTTATATTGATTATGTCTAACATATAACAAAGAACGTGTTTACAAATATGACTTGGCGTTGTAAACGAAGTTGAGTTCTCACGTTGAGTGAGCATTATAAAATATTGCCTAATAGAAGATCATTAGTTTGAGAATATCTCAGTAATTATTCATTTTAAGCCTTCTGTGGTATAATACTTTTTGACGCAGAATTTGGTGCTTTTTCCGAATTCAGGATAAAATATTGGGTATTCCATTTAAGCAACTGATGGTGACCCTCATATCTCGATAAAACAGCGATGTAACAAAAAACAAATTACAGCACTATGTTCCCCTAGAAACCATGCTACATTTGTTTGAAAAATTTTTTTATACAACAAAGAACTTACGAGTTATTTGAAGTCATCACGTTACGAAACTCATCCTGTACGTAGAATCATGTTACTCGGAGACAGACATAAAAATTAAGTAACGTACTTTGTTAAACGCCACGGTTATAACCACGCATCGGGACTCCTCGGATTAAGACACGTACGCCGTGAATCGGTTATAACTACTCGACGGCGACGACGGCGAACCGTTTATCTGGATTGATTCCAGACGTAGAATGCTGATCGATGGACTCGCATCGACCTCCTGTGATCATCATCGAGTGAGGATAAATGCGCACGCATCTGTGATCATGAAGTGAAGATACTGGAATTACGCGGCTCTAAACAAAGGCTCGTGCGTGCCGCGGAGTTATCGCGGCGCTGGGGTCGGTCTGTTCGTGTTCGCCACTACCACAGACTCATTGGCATATCTATATAACCAGTGCAGTTAAATACAATGTCAGAGGCGTCCCGATATGTCCTCCTTAGGGGTTAAGCTGATTTGCACCCGGACAAATTTTTTTTTAAATATAGGACTAGGTAAGCATGCAGGCAGATAGCATACTTTCTCGGGTGTGAACGTATGATTAAACTGGTAAGTAGAGAGAGGCCAGGACAGGCTATCACAGTCTGTGATCAGGTTGGCTCTCCCACTCTGCGTGACAATTCTGCTACCGCGATAATTTGTAGTGTTAATTCGAAACTGGTCTAGATGGAGCATGCCGTTTGCTTTCGGTTTCGACTTCGGTTCTCCATAAAAGTTGAATAGTTGTGTCGCGGTCGCAATCAGAAGGACAGGATCGTTGAAACGAACGAACTGTTCGATTGCACACGTGGTATAAAGACTCTTAGAGTTGTTAGTCGTCCTCAACCGAGTAGCTTGCGGATTTCGAAGAACCTCAAGGTGACCTCTTAACCCTATCGGGAGTTGAAATGCATCCGACCAGATTACGTGGTTACCCACGGGGTGTTATGGCGTTGGAAAACAGTTTCCGTTGAGAAACAGGCGTGTCCCCCACTACTTTCAGACTCCATTTTCAGGGTATAAAAAGGGACGCGTACAGATCATCCGCGGGTTATACTCATATCAGAAGTCTAGTTAGTGAGATCAGGTATTAAACTCCTTTCCAAGCATTTTAAAAAGTAAGCTAAACTCTGTACCACAAGCCCCCGCATTTCTCAGTGCGTAAAAACCAAGAACGTTAGAATTAGCTTCCGCGACCACAACTTACATTAACATTTGTAAAAAAATTTACTTTCTTGAATATACTTCATATACATTTATATATTTATAATTCAGTGTTGTTCATTTCAACTCTTGAATAATATCTAGAGTCCCAGCTAGAAGCAAACCCACAAAGGCATACTTTTACCGCTCGAAGTGTACCGAATTCTTAAAGTTACGGGGCCCATACTAACAATCCTAGTGGCTCCCTGAGATGAAATAGGCTCAGGTTCGTCCACGAAAATCTTTCCTAGTGCTTCCCTGTGATGCAATAGGCACAGATTCGTCCGCATAACAAACTCAAAAATCCAAAGTTGCCATTCCTCGGCTTTCGCAGCCGCTTAGCCCTGGCTCGTAACAATATAAAAAAAGATTGCATTTTTTATTGCAAAAACAGCGATGTACATACATATACAGTTGCCTCATCAGTTAACACAAAAATTCTATTTTATTTGCCGGCCAACTATGGAATCGCGTCGGCCGTTCGTAGTAGTCGTTAAAGCTAGTAGGGTTCACAATTTCTGTAAATTCATACTATGTATTAGAGGTATGATTACATGCCATACCGTTTTGTATTTTTCCACGTGCGCATTTTCCACGTTTTCTTATCAGAATATACTGCGGATACTGCACTTTGGTTCGTTTTATCTTTAATTATCATAAACATTTTTCTGCTCATGAGGCTAACGTTTTAAGAACTTCCCTCGCTTATCGATCAAGCATGTCATTTTGGAATGAATAATGTACTCGCTAAAAGTACAGCTCGGGTCGTTTTATCGCAATGAAAACAACATTTTGTTATTGTCGTATCAAGTTTTCTATACAATAATTGACTTTCTGTTTCAAGATCATGATCACATAGAATCAAGATTTGTTGATAGAAACATGATTATAATCCTATGTCAGTTTCTGTTCCGGGGATCATAATGCATTCAAACTTCAGAATGATGTTTTAACCATCCATTCCATTTATCAAATCAAATCTAACCATTCCATTTATGTAAAACGATAATTTCATGAAATTTTGTTTACCGTTTCCCTGTTGAAATAATTAGAAATCGCACTAAATGTAAAAATAAATCGAAATATAGTTATTAAAATATATAACGAAGCAAATTTATTTAATTTTGTTTAAAATAAAGTTAAATTTTTGAAGATTGATGTACTTTCTTGTATGTTTTATTACAACAAATTTCCCCGCCACCCTTCCCACCCGCTTTTCAACCAAGGAGCCCCTCAAAAGTTTAACAGCTCCAGTACCTATGAAAAAACGTAAATATGATACTAATTATTAGTTGTTTAGCTCGAAGAAGTTCCAAGTGCTCTTTGTTTACTTTGTAACAAGATATTAGCAAACAGTTCCTTAGCACCAGCAAAATTACGGAAACATATGGAAACAAATCATCCGACTTATACAGACAAAGACATCTTTTTTTTGAAAGAGAACTTAAAGATCCTAATAGTTCTAAAAGTTTCATGCGAAAAAAATATCAAACGGATAACGAAAATGCAACAGAAGCTTCATATAAAGCATGTTAACACATTACTCTTGCTGGTGAGGCATATATTATTGGTGAATCACTCATTAAACCATGCGTAAAAGATATCATCTCGTGTATGTTTGATACAATTTTTGTTAAACATATTGAAGCTGTCATTTTCCGATACTACTGTATGAAGGCGTGTTAACTATATTACCGATGATATCAAATCGGAGCTTATTTCACGATTACATCTAGATACATGTAAATAAGAACAATCAGGTGCATATCTTTAATACTTGCAAAGATAAAAATTCTTTTGTGAAGGTAGGTTTCGTAAAAATCGGTGAAAACTACAAACTTTGAAGATCTGTATCTTTTAAACAATTTCGAAATCAGCGAAATGATGACTTGACCCTCCTCTATTTTCACATGGGTTATAACATATTTCAATTTGAGCAAAATCCCAGACATTGTGTACAAAAGTAATCCGCTTAGCGTGGTATGACCCATATGTGATGCTTACGTATTACAATTAAATGACACCACAGACGTTGCTGCACTGACAATTTTACTTGCTTTGTTCGATATGACTTGAAGAAAAAGATTGAAGAAAATTTGCTATTCTATGAAAGTTTGAAATTACATACCATAGGAAATAACATATTCAATTGTATTAATAATTTTATGAAAACGCACGATATAAGCTGGGAAAAATGTATTGCAGTATGCAGTGATGGAGGAAAGGCAATTGTAGTAAAAATGGCTGACGCTGTAACAAGAATTGAAAATGTTGCAAGAAACTACAACATTAATCACTGCATTCTTTATAGGTATTCAGTAGTAACAAAGAAAGATTTCAGTTACGTTAAAATCTACTTTAGGCGAAGCAGTGCGGATAATCAATTCAATTAAATCTCGGCCATTTCAATCGCCTGATTTACAACCTTATATATATGTGAAAATATGGGTAGTCTCCACAACACTCTGCTTTTACAGAGAGAAGTTAGGTGGCTATCGTAAGGTCAAATTCTTGTGAGAATGTTTGAATTGTGGAAAGCATTGTTGGCATATATTATCAATCATAAATTTCGATTATCCGACAGATTAAGAAATACGGCATGGTTATCAAGAGTAATTGCATACTGAGATGGTATTTTTGCAAAATTGAATGAATCATATTTATCGCTGTAAGAAAAAGAAGTGAATATTTTTTAAGTCGAAGATAAAATGATATTGTTGTGACGTAAATTACAATACTGAATCTCAGTTGTAGAACAAATATGTACTTTTGACTGTCTTCCAATTCTTAATAACTTCCTTCAAGAATATGAACGGGATTTTTTTTTCTCTGCAGCTTGTTAGAAGTCAGAATCTCTAACTGAGTATTTTCCAAATGTGAAAAGCAAAAATAATTATTCGGTACAAAATCCAGTTACAGTTAAAGAAAAGCCGGCAGTGGATTATAAAAATTTAATTAAAATTAGGTCAGACGCTCAATTAAAGGCTACGTTTGAAAAAATTCCGGTAGCAATTTTCTGATAAGACATTTGACGAACATCCGGATATATCAAAATAGGTTATTCGAGCTCTATTATCGTTTGCAATAACATATTTGCATACAACAAATATCGCAACAAACCGGACGTTACACCAGATGTGCGAATTCAATTACCCAATATTAAACCAAATTTTCAGAGGATACTAGAATTCAAGAAGCAGCTTTATTCTTTGCATTAATCTTGTATTAATTTTTTATTAATTTTCTATTCATTTCCTATTAATTTTTGTTTCATAATTACAAATTTATATCAATTAAACACGGAATTATTTTATATTTTAATGTTAAATTTATTACATGCGTTTTTTATATGAATAAATCGTCCCCCAAAAACAGTTTTCATTTCATTTAATATATTATAAGAGTCACAGGGTTGTCCATAAAATATAAGTGTGGATTCCGCGAGTTTTGGAAAATCGTATAAAGGTTCTGCGATAAAACAGCGTAATATTTTTAAGGAGATCTTATCTGAAAAAGTGATTGCGACCTCGATGTTGAATCAAGGTAAAAATTAAATGTAGATATTTAATATTTTAAGTCTGTTCGACTTTTAATTAAGTTTGGAAATCACTGGTCTGGTTAAATGTCTGAATGAAACCGAATGGACTGAATGAAACCAACATATGCAACAAAGAAAGAAGATTGAAAAGCGGACCTATCAAGTAAAATACTCCGACACGTCAGACGTATTTAATACGTATTTCGCCCGTATTTTCAACAATTGATAACTCTTAAGTGAAGCCTCAAACACAATCTCGTCATTCATCTTTTTTGTCCTAGTTCTGCATGTATAATCTACCCTGTGATATAGTGTCACATAACACCTTGTACCCTTGTAACTTTCATTACACGTTTTTACATTTTCATTTTATTTCCCCTTTTGGTATATTTCCTCTGCTTTTTCCCTTCTATTTTGTAAGTAGTAATAAGTTTGTATTTACATAACGAAATGGAATTACTATTATATTTTATACTTATATTAACTATTATTCTAACGAACTTATGGAAATATTCCTTACTCTGCCATTACCTGTCTGACATCAACCAAAAAAATTAATTTAACATCCTCCATATTGATACTGTTTACTACTCTTCTAAAGTTTAAGTACATACATAGATGGCTTGCAGAAAATTGAATATTTCGTGAAAAAACACTGTTATTGTAAACCTATTATATTCGTTATATTCATTTTCTAATTAATTCAAATGAAACTGAATATTTACTATGAACTGGCGATCTATCGGGTTTGGGCGAATTTGCACTTACTGCACCGACGATTAAACGAACTCGCTCGAAGGACCACCGTTCTCCAATCAAAAGACAACAAATTGTATTTAACCGTTTACTTTACAATGCAACATGTAAATGTGAAATGAATTTCTTGTCAGTACAGTGAAATTCTACTTACATCGATGTGTCTGTTCCTGCGTTACACGGTTATTCTACTTTAGAGTGTTATTTTGTAGGTCCTTTGCGGTTTTTTATATGTAAACCATATGACCTTTGATATCAGCCTTTTTCACGCATGTTTATTTAGGTTCTAAGAATATTCACCGTTTTTGCTAAGTGAACATAATCGAAATTGACTGCATTATAAATCATTTAGTACGGTACCTAAAACAAAGTGTGCTGCTGGCTGACACGATTTCGGTCATTCCACTTATTTTAAAACAAAAATCGAAATATACGCCATTGAACCAGAACTCTCGATGATCCTCACTTGCTCATTTTCTAAAAGTTTTGCAGTCACCGCCCAAAATGACAGTGTAGGGGTTGATGTCACTACGGAAAGCATAATATGGAGTCCTCGCTCCCGAAATGGACGTATACCTAGTGGATCCGTTTATACCCGGACCAACTGACCAGGTCACGACACGTCCGTCGCTATTACTTAGGAGATTTACGATACCAGAAGTAATGAAGCGATTTCTAGGGAGCCTAATTCCTAAATTGGTATGCCTAATCGAACACAATTGTGGACTTGTATTTTCTTATAATACCGAGTACAACTTACTGTAAGTACATCTGATCGCGAATACGTCTAATCGTTCAGATGACGAAACAACACGAGTGCATTATAAAGCACAGGTAGATAAGTTAATCACCAGACTCCTGCTGCAGTATTTCACAGATTAACAAAATAACGTTGATTGCAAAGTCAAACGACTACTGATAAAAGGAGAGAAATCGTAATTCCTGAAGTTATATATATTTATTAATGAAACGAGTTGCTTTTTGGGCAGTCTGTTATGAACTGAACTTCACGGAGGAGTGACCGGTCCATCTCCAGTCATCGAATCCTGTTTATTCTTGTGCTGCAATAAAATCTGAAAATCGTTATAAATCGTAAGTACATATTCTTTATAACATATTATTAATTTTTTCAAAATTTGTCATAGTACATTTCTAATCGTACTAATACACCTCGATATTTAGCAAACAGTTGATAACATTAACATACCACCATGTTAGGTGCATTATTTGTATAACTGTACGATGAACAGTACATCCGCAATTCCTCACTTTGTCGTCATTAGTTATTGAAATATAGCAAGCATAGAGAACTAACTGCTGAGATAATGGTGACGCCTTTTATTAAAAATATTTATTACCATTTAAAAATGAGATTTTGTAAGTATTAATGCTTACACTACGAGATTATACTGATTGATAAAATGTTACTAAATGACATTTTATTGGATAAAAAAACTATTACAATAAATTCTAACAGTGCACTTAAAAATGTACAATAAGTTACGTTTTTTAGTCTTCAAATAATGTATGCACCGGTAATTTTCCGAATGAAACACCAATAGTATCTCGATGTCCATAACCATTTAGAAGTTAAGAAAAAAAAATAAGCGGTCACATCTTGAACTTTTAAATGTTTATGGATATCGAGATACTATTGATGTTTTGTTGTGCCCTGTTGTATCAAAATGCCCCAATTTCCTCTACTTCTTCTCTATACATATTACGTAATAGAGATCTGAAACAAATAATTCTATTTTTAAGATCCATCCAAAATGGCACTTTTAACACCGTACTGGGGACTAGATGTCATCATACTGTTCGCATCCCTTATAGTGGCCGCAGTCATGTATGCGACCAGGAATTTTAAATACTGGCAAAAGAGAGGCGTCCTGGAATTTCCACCGATGCCGTTCGTCGGAAATTTCGCAGAATGTATGTTAATGAAGAAAACACCGGCGGATTTCGTGAAGGATATGTACGATAAGTCCAAGGGACTACGTTACATGGGATTCTACATTTTCGACAAGCCATTCTTACTAATACGGGATCCTGAACTTGTGAAACATGTCCTGGTGAAAGATTTCAACGTCTTCTGCGATAGATATGCTTCGTCGAATGTGAACGACCGACTTGGATACGTAAACGGTTTCACGATAAAAAATCCCGCCTGGAAGACACTTAGAGCAAAGATAACACCAGCCTTTACCGCCGGAAAACTGAGGAAAATGTTCCAGCTGATGACTGTGATCGCCGACGATCTAGACGATTATCTTGATTCGCAGAAGCTAGGTTAGTATTTGTGTTAGTATTCACCTGAGTAATGGTACATGTTGAATTGAGAGTTCTACCTTTGAGAGCTCTTCTCGTGAATAGAAGAAATAATAATACCCGAAGACGTAGCTGTTACTACATTGTTAGAAAATGGAAACATATTTAGTCTGGAGATCTATATCTCGGCTAACTATAAGCCAAAATAAACATACACATACTTGTGTACTTCGTATTTGTTATTTTACACAGAAGTCATTAACCACAACAATAATTTTGGTTAATTTAATAATATTATCGTGCTGTACCTAACATTTGCATTGACTCTGCTACGATCCTCAGCCAAGTTATACATACGAAATACTAATGAGGAAAGGGAACGGGTTTCCGTAAACATTTCGCGTAGGTAAGAACATGTTTCAAGAGATGAGACTGAGATTAAATTTACAAAAATGTGTAAAATCGTAACAGCGTCAAAGAAAGGAAAACGTCATTGAATCGAAGTAAACCCGAAGATCGTAACAGAGTAAACTGACGGAAAGTTCGCAACAGGTCCAGCTCTAATTTGGATGAAACTTTGTACATTTGAAGAACAGTCAAAAGTAGTAGATAAATATTTTTTTAGCTACAGTAACTCAAGCTTAATGGCTGAAACCACCCTCCAAAGATCGACCTCCAGAGAATTAACTCGAAAGTGGTTGAAGATAACAAAAATTGTTTTAATAGATACTGAATGGTTTTTGGCATGTTAAGAGTACCTGCTAGAGTTAACAAAAAATGTTGATAAAAATGCGTCGGTCATGTTCATTTAAAAAAATACATCGACTGTCCGTATAACACGATTGCATTTTTTATTGCAAAAACAGTGATGTGCCTATATATACAGTTGCCTCATCAGTTAACACAAAAATTCAATTTTGTTTGCCGGCTGACTTTAGAGTCACGTCAAAGTGAGCCACTCGTATTACTACGTCAACGCTGGCCGTTCGTAATAGCGTCATTGAAGCTAGTTCGCGTTTTCTGCAAATTCATACTTTTAGACTTTGTGTATTTTTACATATTATGTGCATTCTCCGTGTTTTGTTATCGAAATATACCGAGAACACTGCGCTCTGGTTCGTTCTATCTTCAATTACGATAAACATTTTTCTGTTTGTGAGTATAACGTTTTAGGAGCTTCCATGAATAATGTTCTCAAAACATCACCTTAGAAAGTGCATCTCGAGTTGTTTTATCTCAATATGGACAACGTTTTGCTTGTTAGCGTCAACGTATTTAGAATAGAGTCGAAGGCGCTTTGTCTAGCTTTAATTTGCCATTGAAGGATTTATGATAGGAACTTAGACTGCATGCGGTCTTGGAAGGGCGGGCGTGAGACTAAACGGGTCCCATTGAAATCACCGACATAGACTTCATCGACACTGTTTTCACTGACAACAATTCACCGACACCAGACTTAATCATCAACAGCTTTACCCGAAAACAGCCGATAATGACATTAGTCCAATTACTATTCGTCTCATTTGTTTCGTAGTTTTCTTTTTTCATAGTCTAGAGTGTGGTAGACTTATGGTAGTGAGAAGAGACACAATTAAGGATCATGGAACAAAAAATGTATTGCCACGTTTATACATCTACATAGGTTAAATACAAAATGTTATTTTCGAGAAATGAAAAAAGAATACACACAGCATAAATCAATATCACGAAAATGGTAACTATGTTCAATTTATTGTAAAGTAATATTGTCAGACAATGCTTGCAAAAAGTCTGTGATATTATATTCTTGACGATTATTCACAATTCCTTGAATGCGTTCCCCTTTTAGTCTACTTTTCCTGATTTAACATTTTCGTTATATTGATTTATAATGTGATTTCAATAGGACCCAGAAATAAAAACAGCTCTGATGTCACGCGATGGCAGAGGCCCGTGTTCAGTTCTTGAGTTATCGGCTGTCGTAGATTTATAAGAAACAGATGAGGGAATGTTAGAGATGGCAAGCAGCCCGACGTTGCATTGCCTTAAAGATAAGGACATTGTTCTTGGTGTGGGGTAAGCAGAGGTGCCTTCTGGTAAGAGGACTGTGATGGACCACAAAGCACTTACCCCAGAATCTCTGAGGCATACAGTTCCTCTTAAAAATCGAAGCATCGGTAGAGAGTTTCTAACATGTTATTCTCGTACCATGTTATCTATACGATAATTCATCTTATCGAAAGATCCAAAGTATTCTGTCAGCTGATTTTCAGATATAGTACTCGTCTTAAGCCACGTTATTAACCTCCACTCCAGGAACATTATAATCAAATTACAATCCTTTGTTGAGAATGAGTTTTTGTCCTCTATGTACAAAAATTTCATCAACTACCTACTCGTGGTACAGGAGCGGGTATGTAGACGAAAGAACAAGTCCGTTCGAAAATCCTGTAGACTACTGTTATTCCGTTAAAACAAATCAAGATGCAATATCTGCGGTGATGTAGCGGTTCCTAAATGCGGATGGTACACTATATCTTTGTGTCTTAAACAAAATTGTTCGATGAGCACCACTATTGCAGAGACTATATAGACTAATTACGGAATTGCGAATGTTTATACACTTACTTATAGGCCTATAGGAAATTTACATATCCAAAAAAATGCAAAATGCACATAATATGTAAATGCAGTGATCCTCGATGAATGCGACACGAGCAGCAGCGTTATTCCCACCACTGGGGAAGTCCCCCCGTGGGTCGAATCAAAACAGAGTAAACAGTAGCTAAGCAGAGGCTCGACTTCGAGCAAAAACAGATTTCTAAGGGGTTCCAAACCTTTCCGCCTAGCCACGAATGCTGCAAAGTGGACCCGAGTACGTCGCACTCATCGAGACATTACTGTATACACAAAATATCGAAAATAAAATACAGGGTGATTTATCTAACGCTGACACCTAAATTACTTACAGACTGTTCATTATATGAAAAAATGTTTCAAACAAAAGTTGTATGGTATCAAAGGGAGCACACAATGTAACAATTAGTTTCTTGCTATTTTGGTTTTTTATCGAGATATGAAAGTCACCTTGAACTTTTTAATCGTAATTTGTAAAATCTGGGCCAACCCCAATAGGGTATGTGGGTCCAAAAGCCAATAATTACTGAGAATTAATTCCGAGAGGGATTAATTCATAACACTAGGAGTCGAAAAAAATGTTTTTATTTCATGATTTATTCAGTCCTAACAAATTATCTGTTTTAGAAAATGGTAAAGTGCTGGAGATAAAAGATCTTTGTACGAACTTTACCATAGACCTGATTGCTAGCACTGGTTTCGGTCTGCAAGTGAATTCAATAAAAGATAGTAACGCACCCTTCCGAAAGTATGGCAAAAAAATATTCGGTCGCGGTATAGTTCGTGGCCTAGAATTTCTTATCATATTCTTCATGCCGCAATTATGCAAATACCTACCCGTGCAATTCTACGGGAAGGAAACCACTGTATTCTTTCGGACCGTATTATGGGAAGTGATCAATGAACGCATAAAATCTGGACAGAAAAGGAACGACTTCGTCGATCTTCTGATCGAGTTATACAAAACGCACGAGAAGGATGGCGACCTCGGTGGATTTCGTAAGTTACAGTTTCCACTCTTCATTAACTTTTAAACTTCATAATTAGACGTCCGATATATTACATATTCATTCGGTTAATAAACATGAACCTGCTATTTTGAATGCACAAGATTAAAGGAATAAAGTTCATACTACTAAAATTGTTAATTTCATCACAATAATTGTAACTAGCTTGTATACATGATTCTCAACGACAAATTACGTAATTCGTTCCGTGTACCACGTATTTCAATGTTCGCCACTGCATGTTTAAACCAATATTTACACAGTAATTATTGCGAAAATTTTTAAATTAAATCGTGTTACAGAATTTAGCGGCGACGATTTAGTCGGACCGGCAGCTGGCTTTTTCACTGGCGGTTTCGAAACTTCGTCCACCGCCATGTCTTTCAGCCTTTACGAGCTTGCGTTAAACATGGACGTGCAGAGGGCCCTGAGGAAAGAGATCCTCCAAGCTCTCGAAGAAAGCGGTGGAAAACTTACTTTTGATATGGTACATAAATTAATAGTCAAATATAAATTTTAGTGCTTGTTTTACAACATATAACGAGTGGCAATATTAGGTATCTTCACTCTACTCAGAAAATGTTAAATGAAACGTGTCTTCCTCGCAGGTTTCAGGTCTACCATTACTAGATATGGTTTTCTCAGAAACCCTCCGCATGTATCCACCACTGGGATTTCTGGAACGTGTCGGTGTAACCGATTATAAAATCCCAAATTCAGATTTAATACTCGAGAAAGGCATACCGGTATACATGTCTATGACCGGACTGCAGTACGACCCAGAATACTATTCCGATCCAATGAAATTTAATCCCATGAGATTTAGCAAGGAGAACGCTGAAAAGATACGGAATTTCACTTACATCCCCTTCGGCGAGGGACCACACAACTGCACCGGTGAGTAAATTTTCATAGTTTTCGCCTAACCGTAGAATCATCTTCCTCCTAAATTGAGTAGTAGAATTATGTATAAGATTTTTCGGAAATATATGCAAACGTAGCTATAGATTAATGCGATAATATTCAGAACTCATTCCGTTTTCAGCATTTCTTTAACAACTTTAAATTAATGTTATATGTAATGATTAATTATACAGTGTGATACAAAGAAGGGTGTATAACTTCTAAAGTAGATAGTACTCGCCAAATAATGAAAGCAAGTCCTAATAAGCATGGATCGAAGAATTAATATTTTCTAAGTTATAGACCAATTTTTCTTTCTGTTAAAGCCAGTGACTTTCCCGCTTCAGGAGCAATCGGTACCGTATAGGAAGCAATTAAGAAAATTGTAGAACACCTTCTATAACCAAAAAAAGAAGCAATAATAAAGTAATCCATTGTTTCCTTACGGAACGATCGCTTTCGAAACGAAAAAGTCACTAGCTTTAACCGAAACTAAAAATTGTTTATAACTTCAAAAATATTAATTTTTCGATCCACGTGTATTAGGACTTGTTTTCTGTATATTCATGAAAAAACAGCGCGAAGTTAAGAGATTGTACTAAATTTTCAGTACAGCCTCTGAGAATAGTACTCGAAAAGGTAAATCGATATTGACCGAAGAATACGATAAAATATGACTGGTTCCCTTAATTTGCCCAAAAATTTGCAATAAATAAAAATAGAGCTTTTGAAGCTTTTTTTGCACCTTTCAGAAATTATATTTACGTATTGACCTTCTGTTTAAAACACTATCTGCTTATTCCACCCAGTTCTCCTCTAGTTATGCTGTGTTTTTGCACTACAGTAATCTGCTGATAATTTTTACTATCCAAAAAATACTAGCTGCTGATGCAACATATTTTTAGAAGTATTAAGAACCATAATGATAATAATAATTGGAAATAACACTGTTCAATAAGTTCCAAAATGATGGAACTAAATCTAGTTTTTTGTGTTAATTAAAGTTGCTGGTTTTAGTTTTTCCCCTGCAAGTCAAAAAGCCTAGCTTTTTAGATATAAAGTTAGCGTTGTTCAGTTTCATTTATTTCTTGAATTATTCACCTAGTACAATTGTTAAATAATAAAAATAATGATAGAAATAATAACAATACAGTAAATAATACAAATAATAACAAAAATAATAAATATAATAAATTTTCGACTTACTTTGTCATGTAGAATCCCACCCTAGTCAGCAGTACCGCCAGTTACATGACACCCTGTACACCATATTTAAAATTAAAGTAAACAAAATGCTTACGTATAAGGTCAAAAATTAGACTACCATTCTATTCAACAATTCGAATTCAAGTAACTAGATCCATTTTTACTCCATATACTTAGAAATTTCTAAATTTTGCTGAACAGTGTAATCAAATAATGATGGTACAGAATTGAGGCAGCTACGGATCATCAAACTAGTTAAGCTTCAATTAATTTGATGTTTGTATGCATTTTTTTTTTTAAATTTCAAATTGTATAAATAGTTTAGAAATAATCTAGTATCAATTCTATCCTCTCACAACGTATCACATTTCAGGAATGCGACTGGGGCAGTTGCAAACCAAGCTTGGACTCATTCAAGTTCTGAGAAAATACGAGGTGACAACTTGCGACAAGACACTAATTCCGATGGTTCTGGATCCAAAAGGATTCAGCGCGCAGCCGATAGGAGGACTATATTTGAATGTCCAGAAGGTCACTACTGAAGCTGGTTAAATAATCCTAACTACATCATTTACAAATTTGATTTGGAATGTTATGTTAGTGTATTAATAATAAATACCAGTAATGTTTCTGTTAAAAGCAAAGTGTATCAGATAACTGTACAAGCAATTAATCCTTTTCAAAATATTCCTCTTCTGCGTTTATACTCTTATTCCAACGACTCTCCCATTGATGATAACTTTTTTTAAAGGAGTTTTTCGAAATGAGTTATTCGTCAGTGCCAATAGCATCATCTAAAATTATTCGAAAATTGTCGTGTTTGGATTCATTATTACCTATAAACCTCACCAAACGATTGATAAAAGTGTCATAAAAACATAGTGAAAAACAAGGAAATTGTTATACTGCTTTTAGTAACTGTTCCATCGATCATTATTGGAACGATATTTAGAAATTGGAGGATGTTATCGATAACCCAAAGAATTACTAAATAAAGTTTAGGATAGCCACGGGTGTGTCTTTAAAATAAATGTGCACCAACTAACAAGAATAAAGGTTTTATTCAAACAAAAACAAGAACTAAACAATCACAAACAATAACGAAACTATAACAAAACCAAACAGTTGATAAAAAATAAGTAATACAAAAGTAATGAAATTATGAGGTATGAGACGTTGTTAACAGTTCGACGGTTGACGATGTTCTGTCCCAAACTGTCTGTTTCCACCGTCTTCCCATGGTTACCCGAGAAAACACATGTCTCGTTTTCCCAGGAATTTCCCGAAAAAGAGAAAGTTCTCCTTCAAGCACTTGGGAAGACGGCGACGTAATTCGAACCTACCCTGAACCTCTGCCATGCAGATGTTATAGCCTGGTAGGCAAAAATGCAAGGGAACGCCGAAACTGTAAAGGTCTGCTACAAAAGGATATGAGAAATCGGATGATGCACTGTAGTTAAAGGAAGTAAAAAAATTAATGACAGGATTTTTCGCAAATGGTATGACAACCTTGGTTTCATTTTAATTGATTTATTTTGGTCTCATTTAAAAGCGACAAAATTTTTGCTAGCTATCGTAACTTAACCCAGACCTAGATTTATTATCTTGATAACTCAATATGGCATCGACTTCCATTATGTAAATTTGCCTTTAAAGAACATACAGACGAAGTAGAGATAAGTATTTCTTTACAAAACTATATTATGTAATTTGTAAAAAGACTTGCGTGTATATATGCATTATCATGCTTCAAATGTTACATTGTAAATGTGGTATACATGATAAAATATCATGAACACGATGGAGATTGATTATTATTTGCATATTACAATAGAAGGTCTTTCATTGCCATATACTTACAAAATAAATAACATGATGTTACCTACGGCTCACAACGATATTAAATAAACAGTTAGAGATCCTTCCTTGGAAAAACTACAAATTTTTCGAAACCAGGAATTATAAAGTAGATGGTAACATACATATGTGAATGCATCTTAACACATGCTGCAAGATGCAATAAAGAAAAGTATACGCTTCCCAGCTAAAAAAATACCGATAACCCGAAAAAGATTCGAAAGAAATGATTATAAAAAAATTCCATTTACGAAACTCCTCTTTTGAAACCTTTCAAATTTTCAACTATTAGGCCGTCAGTGATTTATTGTGCCGAATTTTAGCTTGTACTACAGTAGTGTTTTGATGTACAGTGTACACGTCTGTTCTACATCAATTCTAATTATATTCGTCAAGTAACGTTGTTTTAGATGGGATATTTTTTTAAATCGAGTGACAGTGCAATAGTTCCCGTGCGTGTTACATGTCAGCCAAACCGTGTTGAACTTAAAGAACGAATAAACTACACGTTCTGCTCTCATTTAAAAAGACGGTATGGTGATGCTGTATTAAATGAATATAGCCAGTATCTAAAATCAAAAAAAGAATAGAAAATATGAGACAGTTCCAACAGTGCAACGTACAGAAGAACTGGTAAGAACCACGCAATTAATTAAGAAATTTTCAATTCGGGTATAACAAATTATCTTCTGCATTCAATGGTACCTTTGCGGATGATCAATGACCCTTCCTTTCGACAAATCTTTGAATGTTTGAAGATTGTAGGTATGTTTCCAGTCATAACAATTATTTTCGGTAATTATTCGGAATGGGACGATCCTCGCTGATTTGAATGACCTTGAAATATGTTGTCATGGTCATGGACAATGGACGTGTGTCCACATATGCTTCAGCGTCATGTTTTCGTGCTTCCTCGTAATTTCACGCTTAGCCCGTACATCCTAGACATATATTTTACAGAATTTTTGCACGCTCATAAATAGGAAAAACAAAAAAAAACGGTAATCCGAATTTTCCCTATTACTACCCTCCTGGTCGAGATAGAGGGACGAACTGTTTTTTCTTGACAAACTATCGAATAGTATAACGCCTGTTCAAATCGGTCTAAGGGCAGTTTTATCCCCTTATCCGGCTTTACCCTTTATCAATGGGAGTGGTTTTCAAATTTAGTTTTACATCTATTTTGTATAACTATATTTTGCTTTCGGACATTAGTAACTGTATCCTAAAAATGAATAAGGAAACAAAATGCAGATACGTTAATACACGTGTATTTAAATATACGTGAAATAGGGATCTCTAGTACAAACCCAGTTCAAACTAATACAACAATCATTTTTATATTTTTCACAAAATGGGGGGCTAACTTCACGCACATCTTATCGTTGCACATTTTGCGTCTCACATTCATTCGCGATAAGACGAACGAAAACCGTCGATTTAGCGGCACGTCCAAACCACACGAGTAATCGGCCTTCCTCGAGACACCGTCTAAAAGAATGGAAACGTCTAGCGTTTCGTCGACAGTTTTCAAAGACCGCCTCGGCGACTCGACGATTCTCGAAGTATGGCAATATAGTCTGTTGCTACACCGCACCTTCGACACTCCACAACAAAGGTGGGGAGAACTTATAAAACAGTCATTCGAAATCGGAGAGCCCTACTTTTTTTCTTCTTCCGCGCTTCTTTTACTTCCACAGTCGAGCTTTCGGTGCTTTGTTATAATTACACGCAACGGTGAGCTAAGTGATAACGATCACTCAGTTGAACGGTTTTCGATTTCCGCGACGATCTGTCCATCTTCAGCGACGCGACCTTGTGAATACGCGCAGTCTAACAGGTGAGTCTCGTAAGCCACTGGACCACGAAATGTAAAAAGTGTTACTTTCGAGACGGTGATAACGTGTGCCGCGAGTGCAGAGACCCTGTTAAGAGCGAGTCCTCCGCCTTTACGAGACCTGGAATCCCGACCGAGCCGTTCGCATCCGCGAAATCATTCATCTTCCCCATCATTGGTATGTTAAGGCTAATGTAAGGGAAAGGTGTCGAAAACGATCCCTTTAAGGTGTAATTTATATAAAAAATACAAATGCTCATTATTTAAATAAAAGTAAAGTAGTTTTTGTAAGTTAGTCTATCTATCTTATCATTGGCTTAAATAAAATTTAGCTACCTGATTAATTATATTTTTTATTCACAATTCTTTGAAGGCATACTTAAGGATCATTTTGTAATGTACGTGTATAAAATGATTCCCGGGGTCATTTTATACCTGCTGATAGTAAATACGACGAACATTAAAAAGCATTTCATTTATTACATTTTATTTAAATAAAAACAGCTTTCACGCGTTCGTTTTCTTTCACACTGACGGGGCATTGTTGTAACTAAAAGAAAAAAATAATAATATAGCATATGGGTAAAATGATTCCTGGGATCATTTTATCCTCCTAGGGAGGGATCGTATGACCCCAAACACCCAACTGACATTCAGTCGTTGAATATAACATCAACTTATTACATGCGATAACGAAACAATAGTTAACTTATTATTGAATTGTGGTTAAATCCGCGCAAGAAGCAGCTGTCACATTGAACCGTTTATGAAAAAGACCTTATCTTAGATAAATTGCAGTAATTTTAAATTTTTCTTGTGAACATAAGTTTACACAATTGCCATCATGCTGCTGCACTTCACACTATACATAAAATGGGGAACAGAATTTGGCACGGAGGAGAAATTCATACCCCTTACCCTACTACGTTATCAAAAAGGTGTAATAAATAATTTCATTTCTCATTGTCAGATTCATCCGAAATGGCGCTTCTGACGCCGTACTGGGGACTAGATGGCATCATACTGTTCGCATCTCTTATGGTAGCCGCGTATATGTATGCGACCCGGAATTTTAAATACTGGGCAAAAAGAGGCATCATGGAAATTCCTCCGACGCCGTTCCTAGGAAATTTCAAGGAATGCTTGTTATTGAAGAAATCACCGTCGGATTTCGTGAAGGATCTGTACGATCAATCCAAGGGATTACGTTACATGGGATTCTATATTTTCGATAAACCATTCTTCTTAATACGGGACCCCGAACTTATTAAGCACGTTCTGGTGAAGGATTTCAACGTCTTTAAAGATAGATATGCTTCACCGGATGTAACCGACCGGCTTGGATATGCAAACGTTTTCATGATAAAAAATCCTAGCTGGAGGATACTTAGAACGAAGCTAACGCCAATCTTCACTACTGGAAGACTGAAGAAAATGTTTGATCTGATGATTGTGGTCGCCAACGATCTAGACGAACATCTTGAAGGACAAAAGCTGCGTTAGTATTCATCTGACTAATGCTACATCTCATGTTAACGTAAAGGTTCTATCTATGAGTGCTGTTCTTGTGGATAGAAAAATAATAGTACCTAAAGACCAACAGACATTACTTTGAAGAATTGCCAACATATAGGAGAGGGTTGCCAAATTTGGACAATGTCCTAGGTTGGATCACTACTGTAACTTGTAATGTGTAAGCAATTTACGCTGTATGCTACACAATATGTATAGTAGGGGCACCTCACGCGCCTATTTCTCCTTCCAACCTTTCTTTCGCACCGTGTGCCTTCGTAGAAACAAAGAAGCCCAGACTCTTGTCCCTGTCACTCCATGGTAACGGTGGACGGTGGTGGGGACAAGTTTTAGCTCCCGGAAGTCAACTTTGCCCACCGCTGGCTTATATACTAACAAGTTAGTTGATACAATCACCACTATCATAGATATATTGCTTATCATACAGGGCAAATTGTTTACACATGACAAGTTACAGTTGTAATCCCACCTAGGCCATTGTCCAAATTCGGCAACCTGTCCTTAACTCCTAAAAACAAAAATGTAATTGGATCACAGCATCAGCTGTTACTTCGTCAGAAAAATGAAAATATAAGTAGTCTGCATAAAATCGACAGTCATGATGTTATAATATCTGTTTCAGAAAATGGTAAAGTGTTAGAAATGAAAGATCTTTGCGCGAACTTTACCACAGATATGATTGCTAGCACCGCTTTCGGTTTGCAAGTGAATTCATTAAAGAATTCTCACGTACCTTTCCGAGAGTACGGCAGAAAAATATTCGACTATACTGTATATCGTTGCGCAGAATTTCTTACCATATTCTTCCTGCCACAACTAACCAAATATACAGGCGCGAAATTCTTCGGGAAGGAGGCCACTACATTCCTTCGATCTGTATTCTGGGATGTGATTAATCAACGAATGCAGTCTGGAGAGAAAAGGAACGATCTTATAGATATTTTGATCGAGCTGAAGCAAAAGCACGAAAGTGAAGGCGATCTCGGTGGATTTCGTAAGTTACACTTTCAACCCTTCGTCTACTTTTGAGTTTAACATGGCATACATTTTTGGCCTGCATTTCCATATCCGGATCAAATTCATTTGCATTCGAGTGGTACACGTGAAACTACTGTTTTAAATGTGCAAGTTTAATACAGCAAGTTTATACCTACCACTAGTTTTATCAGCTTTACCGCAATAATTATTATTAGCTTGCATACACATGATTCTCAAGTACCAATTATATCGTTTATTTTATTGTAGTCTCTCTCTCTCTCTCTCTCTCTCTCTCTCTCTCTCTCTCTCTCTTGCTTTATTAAATGTTGCGTTATTTATTTTAGTCTCACACTTATGACTGTTTACTGTATTTATCAATGGAATATTATATGTGAGTGTGTGAAACGCAATAAAAGAAAAGCTTCAATAAATTGTGACGAAGCATTCATTTACCGATTTGCTCAATTCAAAACAGGTAAAAACCGACCGCTAAGGATTCCTTGAACACGAATATGACTTATTCGTATTAATATACCAGGTGCATCAATAACATTATCTTTTGTGGATACATAATTTATGAATAAAGGACGTAGTCATAATCTAGAATTTTTCTGATTAATTGCTGCATTGAACACCTAGTACAATATTTTCACCATGGACAATTGGCCATTTCCGACTCATTTTCAATCAATTCGTGTTTTAGAATTTAGCGGTGATGATTTAGCGGCACAGGCAGCTATCTTCTACATCGGTGGTTTCGAAACATCTTCGTCCTTCATGTGTTTCACCCTTTACGAGCTTGCGTTAGACATGCACGTGCAGAGGACTCTGAGGAAAGAGATTGTGGAAGCTCTCGAAGAAACCGATGGAAAAATTACGTATGAAATGGTACGTAAACTAATAGTCAAATAGAATTAACTTAATTTGAAATATCTTAAGAGTTGATGTAATCTCCAAAGTCAATTCATGTCATGTAACCGTAAATCATACATTACGTGATTCTACAATCACAAATAAGTCCATAGTGTAAAATAAAATTTACTTACACACAGCTTTTACTTTGAGAAAATCGATTTTGAAAATTGCACATGATGAATGAAAATGGCAAGAAACAAAGGCGTTAGACGATTCCTATTCAGTTTTCTTGAGAACTAAACCTTATAAAAACAAATCTCCCTTTTGGTTATATTACACTTTCGAAGGCGTAATGTATATGTATAGAGTAATTGTTTGCTATGAATCCATGAATATCAGTTTCGTACAAACGTAAGTTTTATTAACTCTCCCACCACGTTGCGTACGCCAGCGCACCAGCACGATCCACCTTTTGCACAGGCACTGAGGCCGACGCTATGATAATAGAACTTACCATGGAAGGGGCTCTGAACTCTTTGCCATTTTACTCCCCTACAGTTCTGACCATGGCGATATAGTTAGAGTCCACTGTATATAGGACATATGTTCATACGACGTTTTTTACTTATATTAGTGTGTAGATTTACTTACTGAAATATTAACATGCATTTATGAATCAGCCTGTATTTGTTTGGTCGCAACTGCTCTGAAAATGTTAAAGAACAACTGTCTTCTTCGCAGATTATAACACTACCGTATCTCGACATGGTTGTCTCAGAAACCCTCCGCAAGTATCCGTCACTGGGATTTCTGGACCGTATTGCAATGACTGACTACAAGATTCCGGACTCTGATCTAGTGCTGGAAAAAGGAACTCCAGTGTACATCTCTATGAATGGAATACACAACGATCCGGAATACTACCCTGATCCAGAGAAATACGATCCATTAAGATTTACCGACGAGAACAAGCAGAAACGACCGAATTTCACTTACTTCCCATTCGGCGAGGGACCCCACAATTGCATCGGTTAGTAAAACATACACTTTCGAGGTAACCATACAATCATCTTGTTTCATATTATCTTTGGAATTATCATTCTTACTTCTTCAAAAAAGACAAACTCTTACGGTCTCTGTTCCGCCTATGTAAAAATGATGCGAATAAAAAATGTACTTAGCAATGTTCTACATTCTTTCCGTTCAATTTATTTCTTCCATAACAGCAACTGTTTTTGCAGAAATTGTCAAAGTTCTGCTCCAAAATATATTACTGTCAGATAAAACATTCAATATCTTGCAAAGCGAGGATTTTTATGGAATTTTATTCTACACTATCATTAAATTATTACAATACTGTGACACGACCAACTGTATAATAATAGTCGCGATTCTTGCTGATGAAGGAGTATTGTTTAATACAAGATTTAAAAATACTACATCCTAAGTGTCGCATATTTTCAAAATTAGAACTTGTTGCAAGGGCAATTTACGTTACACATTATCGATATAACATATTCCCTTACAGACAAGTTTTTTTGTAACCGACAATTGTAGCCGTTATAAAACGGCAACTAACTATAATTTACGGCACGTTAGTGATTTCAATACGCCCAAAGAAGTTGAGCAAGCACCATATGTGTCTTCTTCTTGCAGAGGTTGAGCGCTCTTGTCTTAAACTTTAGAGAACGGGAGGCCTATTGTTAGGCTCCAGAGGGATCGTTTGTTTTTCGTAGTACAACACTGTAATGAATATATAAAATTTCTAGTACGTATCCAAATGGATTCAGTTGATCTTAACAATCAATGTATACCTATATTGGATGTATAAAATTAAATTATTTTTTATATAAAATTTCTAGCTCGAAAATACAAAAAGGCATGAAAAAACCCACCCGTCTTCTAAAAATTTATCCATCTATCTTCGGCTTTGAGAGTAAAGGTGTTTCTTTTATCTTGAATGTCACAAAACTATCCAATTTCATAAACGGGTTGTTATGAATTATATAATTAATTTATGAATAATTCAGTATTAACTCAATTCTCTCACAGATATCACATTTCAGGAATGCGTCTAGGTCTTTTGCAATCGAAGCTTGGACTCGTCCAAATGTTGAGCAAATACGAGGTAACACCTTGTGAGAAGACTGTAATTCCGATAGTTATGGATCCAAAAGGACTCACCGTGACGGCACTGGGAGGAATTCATTTGAATGTCCGAAAGATCAGTACAATAGCAAGTTAAATCATACAAAATATAGATCTAATGATTTATTATAATTTATATACTAATTTATAAAATTTACATTATAATGAGTACATCTGTAAATGTAATTAATACCGATCCATTTCAGCAATGTTATAAAATAACTAATGAGTAGACTGCAGATTTTATGCATTTATAATCTATAGGGCTCTGTATAATACTTAAGAGAACAAACTTTTGTCAGATGCAATGTGTCTTCTACTTTATTCTGAACCCAATAAGATATTTAAGAGGAGAAATAAGTTATATCGTAATATTTCTTGGCCACTATTTTTTTTTCTCTGGGGAGAAGACATACTCACTACAACAGAAAATATGAAATAACGGATAATTGCAGCATGTGCTAGAAAATTCTTGTAACTTCTTCTTCATTACAATAATCAAATGGAGATCAAAACTATCAGGGTTGTTTAATTTTCAAAATAAAACGAATAGAGTGCAAGTGTAAATAAATCAAGGATATAACTAGTAGTTTCACATATCAAACAGGAACATATTTATATTTTGAAAACTAAATATCGAGGTCTGCTGAGGATTCGTTAAAAATCTAAACAGAACTGATTCAAGTTCCTTAAAGTTTGCTCTACAAAATATAGATATTCAAACATGGTTGTATTAATCAGTTATACCTCATCTGTGGTGGTGTGAACAAATTATACACAGAAAAAGAGATTAATCTCAATATACACTCGGACCGAACACGCAACGCACATGCGACTACACACACACACACACATACACACACTCAACAACTTAAATTAATCGCAACGCAGAAACATACGTTCAATCGAAGGGGATTATCGGAATAGAGTTACCACACATTATGTCGTTCACGTACCGAATACCAAGCTATTATTAAGTGCAAACTACAGTAGATATATATGAACATACTTTGTTATAAGTTCACTCAATTGAGAATATGTAATGTAATTAAAATTTTACATCATCTTGTATTGCAGAAATGACTCTCAACAGAGATTTTAAATGTTAATAAAGAATCAAAGAAAAAAATATATATATGAACATGTGACTGTATGAACATGTAATCTGAGAGCAAAATATAAAGAGTTCGCGATTCAAACGTGCCTTCAAAAACTGACTACAAAAAAGCCCCCTAAATCCCCCCTGGCTATTATACCCTATGTAGCTACGCCAGACAAAGGCAAACCACGACCGATGTCTGAATTCTCCGGAGAATCCAGAGGGATCGGTAAACAGCCTTGGTATACCTACACGCCATAGGGCCGTATACTAAGTCCGTGTAAAGAACTCACGATTGCCCAGGTCTCACCACGTGGAGGTTGCTGCGAATGGAGACCCGAGGAAGATGGACGGAATCACATGTTCAACGTCAATCAACCTGTTACAATTAGTCTCGTTATAATCAACTTAAATCTTAGTACGCTCGCGCCGAACACACGCAGATACAATAACTTAAGTTAATCGCAACGCAGAAACATACATTCAAACGAAGGGGCTTATCGGAATAGAGTTACCATGCATCATATCGTTCACGCACCGAATACCAAGCTATTATTAAGTGTAAACTACAGTAGATATATATGAACATACTATGTTATAAGTTTACTCAATGAGCATATGTAATGTAATTAAAATATGATATCATCATGTATTGCAGAAATGAATCCCAACGGGGATTTTAAATATTAATAAAAACTCATATAAAAATATATGTGTATATATGAACATGTGACTGTATGAACGTGTAAACTGAGAGCAAAATGTAAAGAATACGCGATTCAAAACGTGCCTTCAAAAACCTGGTTACAAAAAACCCCTTAAATCCCCCCTGGCTATTTGGTGAATGACTCGACCGATTAAAGCCCAAGCGACCAACCAAAGCGTATGCCGGAGCCAATAATGGACACCGATCTGCGATGGGAGAAGCTGAGACCGTAACCGTCTCCGCTGTAGGGCACCAATCTCCCGAGAGGCGATTAACAGATGTGGCACGATTATCTTTCAATCCAAATATACTTATGCAGCTACGCCAGGGTAGGCAAAACGCGACCGATGTCTGAATTCTCCGGAGAATCCACAGGGATCGGTAAACAGCCTTAGTATACCTACACCCCATAGCGCCGTATACTAAGTCCGCGTAAAGAACTCGCGAGCAAAGTGAAGTAATTATAGCTTGGTAATTTTACAATATTTTATCGAGTGTAATACCGATTGTCACGATTTATTTCTAAAAGGCTACTTTGACTGCAAGTCAGTACCCTCGCAATAACACCGCCTACCATTCGGTTACGGCATGTGCAACGAAACAAATTATTTTTTAAGTCGGCACGGCCTAATGATGATCGTCACGTGAGGAGGAATTTCCATGTGATCTTCGGACGAACAAAAATCTTCTCATGATCTTCGAGGGAAAACAAATGTTGAGATGATCTTCACACGAAGAGATATCTTCAGATCTGGACCTAAGTTTAAATGAACGATGCTTAAGTATATCATACTATGATTCGTGAGACGGACACTAAAAAAAAGTAAAAGTACATATAGTAAGTATAAAAGGGTCCTATAATACGGTTTTATACATATTTTTTTTTGATAAATTAGAAATATAATCCCACGACGATTCCTGGAACAGAAAATTCACTTTAAAAAAGTACCACTCTTAAGGTGGGCAACATTAATCGTTTAAGATTAATAAATTGTCGGGAGAATGTTGAGAAACGCGGAAGGTGCTTGTTGTTCGCTACACTATTTTATTAAATACTTAATGAAGAAACTTCCGTGCACCTTAGTCTCATAATACAGAACACAACTGCTCTGTGGTTCCGATGGTACCGGAATGGTTTTAGGCATCCGATAGATCGCACGACTAAGCCAGACGCGACCCAATCTCTATTGGAATACTAATTAAAAAAATAATAACTTCAATCACGCTCAGTCATTATCGCAACACTATTTTGAAATATAAAAACAATCTTAAAGGAAACACGGTCTGATTTTTCGCAACACTATTCTCTAAGCAACCACGATGATCTGTATTGCAAATTTACAATTCCATGCAAACCGTGATCTCGTCTCATCCGCAACACTAATTCAAACCACGATTTTGCCCAATATTGCTGGTCGTTGGGCCGATATAACGGCCAATATACAAACTACTACTACAAATACAGGCGAGTACAGTGAACAAATATTTAGTAATGACTCCACATCCGAAGATGCAGAGCCATTCGTTGCTGCCCTCTTGAGTACACAGTTTGTGCTGGGCCTCTTCTTTTTCTTCGGCGGTCCGCCCACCTGTAACCCTCATGCTGCTCGGTTGTGGACGACCAACGACTCCAAGAGTCTGTATGATCGTACCACATGTGCAATCGAGCAGGTCGTTCGTTTCGACTATCCTATAGTTCCGACCGCGATCGCGACACAACTATTTCCCGAATTTGAAGAATCGAAATCGAAACCGGAAGCAGACGGCATACTCCGTCTGGACCAGTTTCGAATCGACGCTACAAATTATCCCGGTAGCAGGACTATCACGCGAAACCTACACACGCCTACCCCATCAGAGAATATGATAGCCTGCCCCGGCCCCTACCTACTTACAGTCTAATCGGACATTCACACACCAGAAAATATGCTACCTGCCTACCTAGCCCTATATTTAACAAGAATTTGGCAAAAGACAGATTCTCACCAACACACAACACTCCACAGTTCTCAAGCATACGCCCGGGTGCAAATTAGCCGCGAACATTGGACCAGTTTCGAATCGACGCTACAAATTATCCCGGTAGCAGGACTATCACGCGAAACCTACACACGCCTACCCCATCAGAGAATATGATAGCCTGCCCCGGCCCCTACCTACTTACAGTCTAATCGGACATTCACACACCAGAAAATATGCTACCTGCCTACCTAGCCCTATATTTAACAAGAATTTGGCAAAAGACAGATTCTCACCAACACACAACACTCCAC